ATTTTAAACGGATCTTTATGAAACTGCTTGTATTGATATGAAACAATAAAAACTAAATTATTATTATTTATTTTCTACATTTAAAAAATTCTATTTGTAAGAGATCTAAAATGGAACATACATGATAAAATCAATTAATAAGTGACACTGTTGAAAAGAACCTTTTATATATTTTTCATTGAAGTGATTGGCCTGTCTTACGCAAGCCCATGTCTTACATCTGTACCGCACAACTTTCAGTGCCCACACGATCACGAGTATAATGAACAAGATCGATGTCTTTGTGAAACACTGATGCCCCCGTATGGCAACTTTTAGAAAAGGTTAAACTTTCTCAAATACAAATCAAATATATGTTTGTACACAAAGTAAGGTCTTGTCTCGAGGAATATACCTGTGAAATATGAAAGCCCTAGCAGCAACCATTCAATAGATATGGAAAAGATTAAAGTTTTTCAAAAGTAAGTCAAACATCAAGGTCAAGGTCAAAATTAATGGTGCCCAAGGAAAGGCTTTCTCACAAGAAATACACATGTGAAATATGAAAGCCGTAGCACCTATCGTTCAAAAGTTATGGCCAAGGTTAAAGTTTTTCAAAAGTAGGTCAAACTCCTAGGTCAAGGTCAAAGTTGTTGGTATCTGAGGAAAGGTCTTGTCACAAGAATTACACATGTGAAGTACGATAGCCCTAGCACCAACCGTTCAAAAGTTATGGCCAAGGTTAAAGTTCGGTAAAATTTTGCATAACTGGGTCAAACTCCAAGGCCAAGGTCAAATATGGAGGTACCCAAAGAAAGGTCTTGTCACAAGGAATACACATGTGAAATATGAAAGTCAAAGCTCCAACCAGCCAAAAGTTATGGGCAATGTTAAAGTTTTTGCAGACAAACAGACAAACAGATAAACAGACAGACAGACAGACGGACGGACATAGCAAAAACTATATACCCCCGAATCTTCGATACGGGGGCATAAAAATAAGACCACGATTGATAGAGTAAACAGCAAACACAAGATTTATGGTTGTTGAAACACTTCCTTACTTTCATGTCTGTTAATTTCCACGTTTTATTTTTTTAAGCAGAAAGTGTATGAAAGAAACTGTATGAAATGCCTGTGTTCAATATCTTTTAATCATTCGTATATTTGCCTTTATATTTTACCTGATATGCTAAAACAAATTCTTTGTGTGTTTGTGCGAAATTTTTTTTTATCTTTCCTTATATATACATATTTTTCATAAATAATAGTTATACATGTAAATCGGTAATAAAATCAGGGACGATTTTATGCTTTGTAAAATGTTTTACTTATTAAAAGGTATAAACTGGTAGTAAAGCATAATAAACGTTAAAATGTAATAATCCTATGAGCAATTTATTTTTGTGTCAATGATAATGATAATTTGGGTTGAGGGTTTCATACAGGCCTACAATATTCAGGTTATATTCGGGGTCTAGGATGCAACCTGAATATGAGTAAAATCATAGCGGCACAACCATACATTTTCAGAGAGGGGGGAGGGGGGGCACTATCAATTATCAAAAATTCCATGACACCCCCCCCCCCAAAAAAAAAAAGAAAGGTCATCTGACATTATTATTCTTTCTCTTATCTGTTAAGCATATCAAAATTGATCACAAAAAAAGTTGCCGATTCCAGGTATACTGTGACGTCATTTTGTAAATGTAATACGTCATCAATACGCCGTTATAAGCCAACGTTAATAACACTAGATCACTCTTGGTAATATTTAAATTCTTTCAATGGAATTTTAGATATTGACTATAAAAGTTATAAAAGAAAATAAAGAAATATACGTTCACAGTAAGCCCAGGGTGATTATTTCGGATGTATTCAACACTTGTGTCATGTAATTACATCATAATTAATTTATGAAATGCCGTCACAGTACAGATGAAACCGTTCACTATGTAAACTTATTAAAATACACAGACCTAATATATACATTTATTTTATAAAAAAAAAATGAGTTGTTAGTGTTTTCAAGTCGTAAGAATGAAGCTTTATACAAATTAATTTGTAAAAAGATTTTAACAAACCTGTGAAATGAAGAAAAAAAGTCATTGATAGCCATGAATTAATGTTATCTACAGAACCCAAATTATTAAAATTCGTCATGTCCGCATCTTTGTAAGGTTAAAATTAAGCGTTTAATTTAATGATTTTAATCAAATGATGCATTTGTAAAAGTTTGGAATACATACTCAGATGCGGACACATACAAAAATGTGTGAATACACAATAAATATGCAAAAAATCGTAGATTTCCGGAATACTTCAACGGTTTTGACTTTTACTACTCGCGCTTTCTGCCAAACTTATATACCAAATCTTTAGTGTCCTGGACATATGTTATAGACCATAGAATTATATATCACTTTACTTTATTTTTTAACATTTTTACAGGGCCAATTTTGACACATATATATAACGACTTTTGTTCTTTAAAGAGTTCACTAATGGAAATCAAACGTATTCACTTGGTTGATAACCTTGGTAACAATTGTTATTAGTAATTAATTGCATTTGCTGATATCTGAAAAGTTGTGATGTCATAGCTATTATTCGCCATTAAACAATAAATTTGTAAAGGGCTGGATCCATAAAAGTGCACAAGAAAAACTTTTCCACATTTCCTAGACTCATGTGGGAGAAAAGGGGCAAATATCTTGAAAAAGCAAGGGTTTCTTTCTCAATTCACAAAAATGTATCATATATACACAGACCACACAAAAATACTTATCGACGTGCATTTAGAAAGTTGCAAAGTGTCTAATATGTAAATAATAATTTGTAATGCCGTGGGGTGCCATTTAACAGCTGTTGAAGAAGTGTCATTTCTAGTATGTGGTATTTAATACCTGAACAGATAACGAAAATAAGTGTGTAAAGAATTTATTTAAATATCAATTAATTTTAATATTAATTAATTTCGGAATATTGAATGAAGGGAACTTTAAAATTCACATTTTTTTTTTAAAAAGTGAGAAGTCAAAACTATTCAGTCGACGTCCCAGTCATCGACTTCATCTTCGCTTTGCTTGCTACTTGATCACAAATTTTCTTTGTTATTACTCGCTGCAAGATGCTCACACTTAAAATATCGAATGTCCATTACCAAATTATCCATCATCTTTACTAGGTGATTTATTTAACATCAAAATCTATTTATTTATTTTTACGATTAGGTATTCAAGACTGATTTCCCCATTGACACATATGACGATTTAATACCATGTGACCCGCTATCTTAGTTGAGGGCTCTCTGTTACGGGCGTTTTATTACCTTATTACGACTTTTTTTCAGGCTAAATCAACGGTAAAACGAAAATCACATATGTTTCTTCTTTTTACTACGACGTACTATTTCTGAGCGACATGAGTTCATTGTACCAGGGTCGATCAAAAAGTAATGCAACAAACAAATCATAATAAATATAGAAGTATTTTATTTTACTTTTTCACAGTTGAAAAGTTCTATTAAAGAGCTTCTTATCCCAGAAAACCCCATGATTTTTCCTATTGTCCTCGCAAAGAAATTCACTTCTAAAGTAAGCATGGTCACTACACTGAGCTGAAAACTGTTTAAAGATGATCTCTGCCAAGAACATGAAAATGGAAGCGTATGTGAAAACTTTACATAATCGCTGAAGAACTTTTATTAAGGATATGATTTTTATATGTAGAAAGAATGGTCTTCACCCCTGTATAGTTTTCAGATGGATTCAGAAATTCAAAAGTAAACAAGGAGAGTTTAAATATAATGGCCATACTGGTCGATTGAAATCTGAAGGTACAACAAAAAATATCGATGCTGTGTGAACATGATATCTGAAAATGCCAGATTTAAACTGAAAGACTTTGGTAGGACACTAGACATTTCAACAACACAACATTTCATAGAATTCTTACAAAGGAAATGAATATAATAACGTTTCTATCAGATAGGTGCCTTATTTCTTACAAATGCCTGAGAGAAAACATGCGTTAAATATGCCACCTATCTATTTAAAAACAAATATTTTAACAAAATAGAAGATTTGATAAACTTACGTGATGAATGATGAAACATGGGTGCACTTTATAAAGTCGAAAAGGAAGATCATTAATAAATGCTGAATCAAAGAAAAAGCTGTCGTCTTATTATTGTAAAGAGAAACAAGGGCTCCAAACAGTTTTTCTAGTTTTCATTTTTTTGAAGAGGTCCAGTAAAACATGTAAATGCGCCCAATTGAAGAATCATCAATGATAACTTTTATGCTCAAATTGCAATCAGGAAAGTTAAACAGATTTTCTGCAAATGAAGTCCAAATACCGGTCCCCAAGGTAATTTCCCTATGCCTGACAACTCTGCTACCCCCATATTCGCTAGATCAAGCCATTGTGAGATCTTTTTATTCCAAAAACCATGAAAACAATCAAAGGAAGACTGTACAATACATGTATAAGATATGTCATGGGAAGTGATATTCTTCAGTGTCAAGATGAGTATGCTGAGGTTTTCTGGTTATGGGGTACAAAGAACTAAGAAATGTGTAAAGGGTCATAGGGAATACTTTGATGGATTGGAGATATTAAGAATATGTATAATGATTACATACTTTTGTTGTTTCTAGATAACCTTTTGAATTATTTATTGAACGACCCTCGTATCTCCATTGTACTATAATCTTCCATTTCTGAACGACATAATTTTAGTTTTCGAAGATTAAGAAATCATAAAGGTGGCTTATAACTTTCACCTTGAAAACGATTATTTTCGTAAAGTTTTACTATTTCTAAATAAGAGAAACTGCGTTTAACTGATATCTAATACAGTAAGCGAATCTTCAAGCAATGATTTAGCATATTTTCAATAACTCGGGTAATGGAGATACATAACCTCTAGTTTGATGAATCGATGCATGTCTCATAAATTTCCGATAAAGTTAAGTTTTTATGTACCATATAACATCTTATTTTGAAAATGTACTCACCAACTGGAAGACTCACACCACATTGATACCAGGAATTACTATAACATCCAGTATGAGGACCAATGTTACCGATTACAAATTCTTGACCAAGTTCCGATTGACAATAACCTGACCAAATAATAAAACTGATAATACAAGTAAAATATAGGTTAAAACTTTTTTTCGTATGTTAGAAACAATATATTAATATTTTCTTTTAGAAAACTGGATGAATATGATTAGTGAACAATTCATTATCGTTATCAACTGTTTTAAAACATAAATGAAATATCATATCATTCATTTGATTAAATTCAGCCCTCTTGCATGGGAAAAATATCTTATAAGTACATGTACTTGGCTTGAATGCATAATGTTCATTTCATTTCAGTCCAGTTCATTCACTCAAAACCATGTGAATGGTAAACACCAAAAGACACCTTTCATTGTTGGTGCGTTGCCAGAATCGTTTGCTGTTACAATTTTAGTTTTCAGTCCTCCAACAAGTTTACAAACATCTTCACCGCTGCCATTACTATCACCAATATTTAGGAATATGTCTGTCTTACTAGCTCCCAAATACAACTGATATCTGTATAATAAATATTCAAAAATTGTTTTTAAGAAAAAATCGCGAAAAAAAAAAAAAGATAAAATAACATACCTGAAATGTTTGATTTGAAGTCTTCGTGAAATTAGAAGCCAAGAGGCTGAATGCGTATCAATTATAGGAACATTTTTGGATAATTTTGTAACACCTATTCCAAACGTATGTTACTTCAACCTATCCGCCTCTCGCACTTCTTTTTATACTGCAAAATTTAAGTCTTAAATAAGTATTTCTCAAAATTATCGAAATGATTAAAACAACTAAGAGAACATTTTGTTTATTATTTTACTTATTTGATTTTGCCAACATGACAATAAATTAGAGGAGGGAAAATAATCTGGCTATAAGCAGCACCTCCTCTTTTATGGATGAACATTTCTCCATTTAGATTTACAAAATAGTCAAAGATTGTGACGGGAAGATAAATAGCTTTTCAGAATTTCTGACCATAATGAAAACTCAACACATTATTTTTCATACTTCTCACACTCAAACCCTGCCCTGAACTGGAAGTTCTTTTCAGGGGACATTTTTTTTTACTTAAATTAAATTAAATTTAATTTAATTTAATTCGATAGAGGGCATATCATGCAGCAAAATCGTACAGACAATTCAGTCCCATCATAGACTAGGAGGATTTTATTTCCAGTGAAGATCAAGGAGATTTCCCTCCTCAATAAAGGTATATAGCTTATCTGCTAAATATCTATATGAACATGGAAAATGATACTCAGAGATGACGTACATCTTTACTTCATCATTACTGCCTCTACCCTTCTGGAGTATGAAAGTTGGACCAAATCAACATGCATTTCACATTTTGAAAAGATGAATCAATTCTTATTAAAGCCATATAAAATATTTATTTGATAGAAGTCTTAAAGCTAAAGGACTAGAGAAGTTATTTAAGAATGAGATAGGTTTTTATACTTGACCCCCAATATACGAAGAATGTTTCATTTATTCGGACTTTTTGCCTGGGAGCACATGCGACTGGATTAACGAGGCTCGACTGTACATAATGGATGCTTTAATTCAGGTTTTATTGTTTATATATTCAATTCAAGTGTGGAAATATTTTGAGAAGATAGAAATAGATTCATGGCGACTTTAAAAGTTTCTATTAAGTGACCTATACGTAACATAACCCTAAGTTACAAATATTGAATCCCGAATCCAGGGATTGGTAGTTTCAGGGATGGGATAATTTAATTTAAAAAAAAAAAAAACTATCGGTATTGAGTGCAATTAATTTTTTTTTAAATGATTGAGATTAAGGATATCCGCTTCTCAGCCAGAAACGATAACTGTACAAATTGAAATCTTTGTGTGCAACAACTTTCGTTTTATCCATCTCGGTATGATTCAAAAGTTTAGACACTTTCTTGTAAATAGTTGACATTTGTATCCCATAAAAGCACAGGGGCCAATAACATACTATATTTGATCTCTATATTCAGCCAATTACATGCATTTGTATTTGTAATATAAAAAGCTACGTTGAAAAATTATAATGTACTTCGTGTAAAACTTTTCAATTACATTTCAAATACTTTATTTTAAGGGTATAATATACAGCACGGGATATCTCCATCACAGCCACATTTTGATGTCTCTTTTAATTGTCGTTAAAGCAATCCTTAATTCATCAGAGTATATTAAACTTCAAGTTATTGTTGTACATGAAAATAAATGAATTTCATATTTTTGCTTGATAACAATAATGATAGTTCTTTAACGTACTTTCAGAGTTTTATACTAATTTAAATTTTAGCTTTAAGATTTGACAACCCTTTTATACATCTTTAAATCATATCAAATATTTCAAATACAATTACTAAATAAAGCACTGAAAGGTATAAAAATGTTTGACAGTCTATGTTCGTAAGAAATCATTTATTCACCTATCCTGGGAGCATCGTATAATTCCTACTATTGGTGCTGATGTGGAATTGGTTTTCTTGATGTACCGTTCTCCATCAGGGCAGCCATTCCATTTTTTATCATGAGCAAAGTCGTACCGATACCAACAGGAGTCAGAGGTGTTAAAGCACTCTATCAAAATCATGCATTTCATTCACAAGAGTCTGCGCTGAGCATTTTATATTTGCAGTATAAAATAAAAGACCCAAAAATATTTGTTTTCAAACCATATGGTTAAATACAATTTTATGATTCGTGCAAGCAACAGTTAAATAATTGCGAAGAAATACTTGGTTCGGGTAAAACTGGTAGAACGACTCTGCACATATAGTAAGAGCTGATGCAATGGGCCAGGTTTTCTTTCACCTCCCCAAATATGAATTCCTGTCCAGAAAAGTTTCTGTAATAAACTAAGAAAATATATATGATAAAGAAATGTTGAAATGCAGATACTGAAGATACTTGTTTTACGATATGGATTAAGGATAATTGGGTGTCTTCCACCAATTTCCTTCTTTTTTAAAATAACAATTCCACCTACTCCCTCCTGCAAATAATAAATGCACTGACAGTTCATTTGTTTTATAACAATTAGGTTAATTACAGCCCATCTAGCTTTACCTGTACGCTTTAAAAACACTTTAAGACAGAAGACAGAAACAACATTAAATAGATTTAAGAGAAAAGTATTATTTAATTCACATATTTTGTACACTTTAATACACTGTAAGACGGAAAATAAATAAACTGACTCAATTAAGGCACTTTAATCTTTGCTTTTTTTTTGAAAATATAAACTTTAAGACAAAATATAATTATTAAAAAGATTTAAGTTTTTTTTTTTCACTTAACCCAAGGAATATTGTCTTATTTTAATCTAATCAATTTAGTCTGATTTTTTAAATTTTATTTCATACATCAAACTGAAAGAATAAGGTTTAAAATATTGAGATAATATGAATCCTACGGAGATAAGATATTATGCTTTGTGTTTTTCACATAAGTAAATGCTATAAATTTAAAACTATAAATTACATTAATTTTTTTTTCTTGTCTTCCAAACATTATTAGAAAATCAGATTAATATTTTTCAATTAAATAAAGGTAGCCAATTTATTTGTCCTCCATTCCAACAGGAGTTAATTAAACACTATTTATACAGTAATTAAACATGTATGTTTATTTAGTTAAAGCAATATCAGCTGCATTTTTTGAGAATTTCATTTTGCTGTTAAAATGTGCAGTTATGATAAATCCGATGTAATTTAAACCTTTATGATCAATTAGACTAAAAAGTATTAATTTTTTTTCAGGCGAAACAATATACAATGGAATATATGGCATTATATAAGATATCAATATTCTACATGACGACAATAATGTAATTTTGCTTTAATCAAAGCTTTGAAATAGTTCTTCTATCGCGAATATGAACAACAGAAGTTTATAAATGTTCTTTTTTTTCTGTCATTGAAATTGTTAATTACAATTTTGCAACAAAAAGTCCCGACATCAAAGTTGCAGCTCATATTGCTTTAAGCATTTGTTTACACAAGTACTTTACCTATTGCCAAATAAAATGCCATTTCCTACTTAATTTTTTAAAATGGGAATAGCTAGAGGCTAAATAAACGGAACTAAACATTATACAAGGGTTGTCGAAGAAAAACGCAAACTTTTTAACTAAACATATAAACTACATGTACCTAACGTAGATATTAGTTTTGCTCATGGTTGGGAAATGACATTTTCGTCATTTTGACCAAAGATTAAAAGCTTTTTATGTCATATATGCGTGCTGAAACGGTGTTTAAAAAGTGTTAAATATTGATGGTTGGCGCAATTTAATTCACAAATCAACATCTAGAGCGCCCCAAATCTATGTAATTTTTAAAAGCTTCTTCTTCTCCGATCAACGAAATATTCAATTATCTATCAAAGAATTAAGGAATCCTACTTATGGACCATTTTGTCACATACTTAAGACTGTACATTTGCATTTAAATTAAGATGAATAAGGAATTTCTGAAATTTTACCCCCCCCCTCTTTTTTGCAACGTAGGTCATTCGAGTTTGGTTAAACATCGGTTATGCCTGCAGATATAATTGGTATATTGAACCCCTGAAAAAGTAAGTCATTCATTCATGTATGCAGATTAAATATTGACTACTGTTTTGTTTTGTTTTTATATTGTATTTTATATAAGAATTTAGTAAAATTCTTTTTCTAAGGATTTTATGTCCATGTGTCCGGTTTATAGCCCATACACACAGTGGTGTATGTACAACTCTCCATTAATGAAAATGGAATAGATCAACGAGAGTAGTGGTAGCTCCCCCCTCCCCGGATGGATACTGTATATGTTGTTTCTATGAATAAAAATGGTAATTACTTATTCGTCCATATTAACTTCAATGTATCAAACTGTATATTCTTCATCTATTTTGTCAAAATTATCTATAAGTTCCCAAATCGTTTTTGTTTTTATTCGAGGAAATATGAACTGACTGAAACTGTTTACAGTAAATAGTTTCTAAGGATGCATGATTTATAATTTAATTTCACTAAATAATTCTTTTTCACTTTTGATACTTACTTTAATTTGTAGATACTTTGGCTTTTAGTTCTTTTGTTCATTTTAACTCACTGTAAATGTATCTGTATTCGTCAGTGAAAAAAATATGTTCGGAAGACAGGAGGAATAATTCAACTAAGGGGAGGAAAAACAGGCCTACCTCCTACATTCCTACTATCTCCTACATCCCCTACGGAAAAAAAGCAAATTAGCATAAACATTTTCAGATTGAAAAAAAATACCTTGGTGTAATCACGAATACAGTTTAAAGAATTAATCAACTAAATTTGAATTAAAGAAATTTAAGGGATAATCTCTTTTCTTCCTTTTAACAAATGCGTAAATGATCAATGATAGGATTCTGTATTCATAAAGAAACCACAATCAAAACATTAAATCTCATTTTCCTTTAAATACATGTACATTGGGATCGTATACTTCGTCATTTTAAGGCTTAATAATTAACGTCAAATTCATTTTTATCATTGAAATCGCAAGAGTTATCTCCCCCACTGTGTTGTTGCCTGACGTCACGTGCGTCAGGCAGTATAAGGATTAATTTTTCCGTGGTCCGAAACTAAGCGATCATTCTTAATGAACTAGATTTTGTGCAAGCTGATTTACATCGGAATTTGTTACCTACATTTAAACAAATACAGTTTGCAGAAGAAAGAACCATATTACTGATGCAAAATAATTATGTGTTCAATTCCTTCAGTTTTTTTGCTTGCACATATTTATTCTTTGCGATTATTTGGACGGACATATCCGTGTAACATTTTTACTGCGTTTTTAAACTACTGGATCAGTTCATTTGCCTTCTACGAAAGGGGTGACACAATCATTTTGCGCCAAATGTCACATGTAAATTATCTTCGCGCCTTTTTCTTGGATTATTCTATTGAATGGGTGTGATAACTTTTATGGAAATAAATAAAGTTTATTCTTTTAACCTGATTCTTAAGCTTCAGATTTTTTTATTAACAGTAAATCTTATTTCATTTTTTTTAAAAGAACACATTGTGTATGGGCAGGCAACACCTAAGCAGTGGATTTCCTGATTATTCTTACTATTTATCCCATAGGTGGACTAGTCCAATCATAAACAAACTCCGTCCATCTAGTAAATGGGACATCTCTTCTTAATTCAGTCTGTTTTCCACCTTTTCTTTCAATATTACATTTATTAATAATGTACGCTACAAGGTAAGGTTTTAAAAAGCTTAGAAAGTCAGCCAGTAGCATATTATTTTATGCTTTGTGATGAACAAGGGTTTCCTTTTAATACAGTGACAAGAGTGTAGGTCAGTACCCGTAGAGAAAGGGGCTTCACTCCCGTACGGTTCTAAGTAAAGAATCGGCAAAATGAAGAAGACATCATGATCTGTACAGGTTTTCATTTCATAAAAAATCATGTTATTATAATTATGAGAAAGGTCCTGAAATCGATTGAAAAAAAAACTAAATTTTAAAACTGTACTTAAACTCATTTATAATACATGTACATGTATATGATAAGACCATCATCGCGTGAGTTTTGTCCGGGGGGAAGGGGGATTAGTATCTTGTTTTTCTCTAGCTATAAAGTGTACAGGCCATTAACTTTGAGTTCTAGAGCAGCACTGAAGCATTTTTGAGACAAGACAACTTTTCCAGTTAAAACTGTTCATAATTTACTTCGTCATCGAGAACGACAAAAAACAGATCAGTCTATAAATAGAGGCCTTCTCATCAATCTATCACTGACCAGAGAGTGTGCATGAAGAAGCACGCCCTCTAGTAAGAAAGTACATATAATATGAATTTCTTTAGAACGACTTATCTAACTATTTTTCCCAGAATTCCAATTTACGCTAGCACACCTACGTAACTAGTCAGCCCATGGGCTATAAATGACCAAATAGTGGCATGTCTTAGATATTCGTTAATCTGTAACTTATTTGGTTATGACATTTGAGAAAGTCAATTGTACATCTTGTGTAATGAAATATCGCAACTATGTCGCTCCTTGATGACGGAAATATTTAGCACCTCTCTTGCTTATACGTTCCATAGATATTGATTGATTAGTCAGGCAAGCATTTTGAAAAGCTATTACTTCTACGTCTTTGAATAATTATTTTCTCTCCAATTTCGCTCGTTTAATTCTCTAATCACGGAAGTGCCCGGATATCAATATTCAAAACCCAAAACGGGCGACCAATAAATTAATTGACAGTTCTGAAAGACGCAAAGATCAAAATATAAGCCGATTGAAACTGTCTAAGACTTCTTTCCTAATAAACGACTTTCACATTTACAAAAGTTATTTCCTTTTACGGGGTCAATCTGGGGTTAACCGGCGTAAGGCAGTTTTCCCTCTTTAACATTATCAACTTTACGGGGCAATGTTTTACAAATGAAATCTGTATGAATATGTTCATTATGATTTTTATGTTGCCCCATACTATGGCAACACAGGTACGAATCAAAATTGTCATATATCGTTTAAAGGTTGAAAATATTTACAGGTAAAAAGGATGAGCGTTACACCAACAACGGGAGATAACTCTTAAGAATGTGAAATTCGTCTATCACTGACAATATCATTTTTTATTTGCATCCTTAGTCAAAGGAATTCAAAGTTTTAATCTATGGACCGGGAGGGGGGGGGGGAGTCCAAGTCTTCACTTGTTTTAAACATAGCCGCATGGGTCAAGGATAATGTATATTTTCTATAGAATGTATTGTCGAGGAAATTCGAACTACACTCGTAACATTTTATTCTCAGTGCACAGTGTTAATTTTTAGTTTTTTTTGTAAATCTTTCTGCTTGACATACACAGAACTGCCACAGAAATTTGATGTTATGCACGTTTTCAGAATGACATATCCCGCTGTATACATACAAAAAAGAAACAAGGCTTCCAACTACATTCCCTCCTTTCCGTGCCCCGTCATGATTTTTTTCCTTTTAAAAGTTATATGCATCGCTTGCCAGATCTGAATTGTTACGAGTATAGTTCGAATTTCCTCGACAATACATTATACAAAAAACATACATTGTCCTTGACCCAAGCGCCTATGATTTTGGGGCTCAGTGACTAGGATCCTTTTGTAGTCCACAAAAATGACAAACTGAAAAGAAAAGAGCTGGACGTAGAAACCGCTGTGAAACTATATATGCACAAGCAGTTAATTTTATGATCTTATGATCAGGGTGAGGAAAATGTCTATTAAAAGAATTAATTCCGCAATCCTTTGGTAACTGTTGTATGTGATAGGTGTATAACTCGGTAATCAAACGGAGTGTCTAATTTATGCTTCCACGCATTATTCCAATTCTCAAATTTGTAAACACCATGAGCTAGTGTGTTTGACGTCATCAGTGTTTGTTTGTTTAAAGTCCCTCTCGAGAATTTTTCACTCATATGGAGACGCCACCATTTGATTAAATACCTAATACTCGGCGCTCAGGACCATTGAGCAGTGAGGGATCTTGTCTCATCCGAAGGACCGGACTCCACGTCCCGCAGTGGATTCGAGCCCGCCACGTAATTATCAGCTCCTTACTCTGCGACTCTAGAGCAGACGCTTTAATCACTGCGCCACGAGAGCAACGCTAGGTATTTTGTAAGATTCGTTTAATTTAGAGAAAGATAATATTTATAGATATTTTTATTGATATCTCAATGTAGTATTCAGAAATGTTAATTGTGGTGCATCCCAATTTTAATATTAGTGAAACAATTAAAGTTGTAAATATTTGCGTTTTTCTATGATAACCTTTGTGTAATTATAAGTGGGAAAATGGGTTTGTTTATGATACAGATGACTGATTTTAAAAAAAAAAGGTTTTTTAAGCTTAAATTTTGTTTAAATGTGCCATTCGAGGTCTTAGATTCTCAGTTATTTCACGTTACGTTATTATTCCTATTCATCCACTTTTTTTATTCTAAGAGTAAATCGTTTATTTTCGCAATTTTGAGGTTTGTTGTTAGTTTGTCATTCTCTGTGGATTTGAAGTTGATGATGACGATGTGTGATATTGAGGAGGCTGTAATTGAGAATCTAAAGGACAAGATAGGCTAAGACCCCTTTTTGGCCCCAGGTTTGGCGTGTCTTTTAAAATGATGCAACAGTTTGTCACCCCTGCCACAAAATGAGTATTGGTTCTGAGTTACGAAATACACAGAGGTCACAGGAAGGTCGGAAAATATGTCAATTTCCGAATTTTCTCATTTTTATGCAAATATTCATCGATTTTACAGCACATTTTGTTTAAGAAAACATAGAGCACAAGATTGACTATCTACCAAATTTATATATTTCATACACTAGCATCAGATGCATCTTATGTATAAAAATCTCAGATAGGCAAGCTTGTGCTCTATGTTTCCCGAAGTGAAATGTATATCAAATTTGACGAAATTCCACCAGAATTGAGGAAATTCAGGAAAATGTCCTACTTCTGCCCCCTCTTGTGGCCTCCGTGTAAGCTTTGAATCAAAATTAGTGCTGGTTTTAAAACAAGCATCATTTAAAGTTCTAAACTACAGACTATCACAATTTTAACTGTATTCTGATTTTTACATCAAAACGGGCCAGATTCGGTCGATACCATACCTTTTTCTTTAGATAAACAAGAAACACTGAAAATGTAATAACCTCTGCCTGTCAATAAAATATACACCATGTAATATCTTCATGTACTAAGAACAGCCTGGATTTGTGTAAATTGGTGGTGAAAGTATAAAAAAAAAACTCACTGTAACATTTTTATTTATGTCTATAAAATTGTTACTATATATTTACCTTTCACACCGGTATTAATTGTATAATAGCAATTAGAGTATGATCCATTCTCTTTCCCTCCTACTAACTCGCAATGATCCTTTCCAGCTCCTGCAGCTGACAGATCAGCTATATCATAGAATGTGCTAGAAATATCTGATCCCAACATTATCTTGTATTGGTAATACCTGCAACATTTTTTTTTTTTACATTTACATAAAGTACGTCAAAATAAATGTTTTTCGTTGTTCTTCATGCAAATTATATGATATGTATGTTTCAATATTTGTGTGTTGAAAAATCAGAACTTGTTCAATATAACACTGATGAAGGATAATAAGTAAGAACAAATTCATTCTATTTTGATTTTCTTTTGACGATTGACGTAAGATATATAAAGTATTTCATTCATTTCTGCATCTTCTATGTCAAAATAGTAATCAGGACACGAAGTGCCTACCTAATTCAAAGCAATCAAATGGCTCTTATCTAAAGTTTACTTTTCGCTCTTGAAACTTGAACTTTGAACTTGAATTTGACATGTTTGATATTTCTTATTCTAAAAATGAATTACATTTCTGAATATGAACAAAGAAGAATGCCAACATAGGGAGCTGATGTATAGTTTGTCTTCTTTATATACTGCGTTCCACCACAGGAGGAGTAATGACTGCTGTAGGGAAAATTGACCTTAATCCAGCAGGATGTATCACTGTTGAAGCATGCTGTAAAAATTACCTCTTCAATTAGTGATATTAATATTGTAATTGAAATACGATATTATACTAGTAGTATTTTGTTAGCATTCAGCATTAATTGGATCAGCAGTGGTTAGGAATATATTTTATGCCAGGGAAATTTGATGCATACTACTGTAAAATACATATTTTCATGGGTCAAATTCTTCGTTGTTTTCGAAAAATATACTATTAGGTTTGTGGGGAATTGATTTCGTGGATTAAGAATAGTTGAGTAGTTTTGCAAAAGATATTTTACATTTCGTGGTGGTCATGAATTCGTGTGTCTCTTCATACCTTAAAGACAACGAAAATTAACCACCATAAATTAGTAATTTCACAGTATTAGTTTATAGCATTGAAAACATTAATAAGTTTTGGGGTCAGAAAGGATTGATTGATTGATTGTATATGATCTCATTCGATAATTCTTCACTCATATAGTGACGTCCCCATATGTCGGTGAAGTGCTTCTAATTTAGATCTATAATAAGCACACATGGCCATTGAGCAGTGAGGGTTCTTTATCATGCCAACGCCGAAGCGAACACCCTACAACTAAACTACTGTGACCGGTGATCAGAAAGTAAGAAAAGGTCTAAATTGACCAGATGATGAAATAAAATATATGTTGAGAAATCGTTTGCTTATAAACAATTTGTTCACCCTCCAAAACAAAATTGTAAAAAATATGTCTTAAGTAGATTAATCTCATCTCAGTTGTTTTTCTTTAAAACTAAATAATGTTTGTCAAATTAAGGTAATAAGGCAAGGTTTACTGAATACTAGTTCAGTTCTTTCGATATTTGCTTTTTTCTATTTTGTGCTTTTTGTTTTGTTCCTTCTTTTTCTACTTTGCTTGATTTTTTTTTATTTTCTTTCACCTTGCTCGTCATAACCATGCACTTAGTTTGTCTGCTAGATACCCAGGAGCAGAGAAGATTTTTGAGAAATTAATGCATTTTCACAATAGAGCCCCCTTTTTACACCAGAACTCTTGACCCAGGGGTCAGAGGATTCAATGCTCGTTATAATCACATCAGCTGCTTAACTCCTTGAGGTCCAGGAGAGGTACGAGACCTAAGAGGTAAGAGAAATGAGACCAATCATTGGTTTCCGACGATGGATGTACAGGAGCAAAGTTTTGAAGACTGCATGAATTTTCATAGTTTTGTCGCCCTCCTCAAGTCCAACAATAACAATTTGTCTTTTCTTTTGCCCATAGATGCTTAGTACCATAATTGGCTAAAATTGAGTCTCATTTGTTTCAGAGAAGCTGTAAATGTTTACGGCCGCACAACGACATCAACGGACAAAACAGATACATGTAGCAATACTGTAAACGTGGATGTTTTACGGGGTAAACTTTTACTAGTTTCATGTGCCAAGCAGAAGTTAAAGAATTTATAAAAACGTGTCGATTTGTTATTGATTATACCTTTTTGGAAACTGATTGGGGTTAAATTTTGAGAAAAAAATCGCAAAAAACTCCACCTCGAAAACATTTCTACGTTTACAGTAGGTCACCTGAGTGACACAAGAGATCTTTAAACAAAACAAATACCTGGAGTTGTAGTACATTGATCTGACTGAGAAGTCCACGTCCCATTAGGTAAGCAAGTTGAGACAAGAGAGAAATGAGGGTGCATTATACACTTATATTTTAGAACTGTACCGACTCTAGTTGAATTCACAAAAACAGTGGTGTCCTGATAATCTGGATGTCTACCAGGGCAATCTGTGTGAACAGAATTTATTTGTACAAAAGAAAGAATTAGAATTCCTCTTTCAAATCAACAAATTATTAACGTCTTCTGCACAAAACAGTTCCCAATTTCGACATCATAAAGCCCAAAAATTTCACTTTTACATGGATACCCACATCTGCTCCAACCCAGGATTGAACTCTTGACCTACGGTGCTTTCTATTTTAATATATTTCTTCGCTTAGGGCAGTTATGTTAGCTTAAATGTTGTTGTAAAATGTGCTTTATAAATAAAAATTAATTCATTACAATGCGTATCGGTAACGATCCTCTAATAAAACTAATGTCCAAATAACTGTATCTCACTTCCATTCTCAATAGCAGTGTAGTGTAGGACAGCGCCGCGAGAATTCCATCGGCATCGGAAGCAATTTTTTGACATGCCTAGATGGCCGAGCGGTCTAGCGCGTTGCACCTGTAGATTCCGTAGGTTGAGAGTTCAACCCCAGGTTGGGGCGACAGTGGGTATCCATGTAAAATTCACTTTCTATATATGCCAAAGCAATTTTTTGACATGCCTAGATGGCCGAGCGGTCTAGCGCGTTGCTCCTGTAGATTCCGTAGGTTGAGAGTTCAACCCCAGGTTGGGGCGACATGGGGTATCCATGTAAAATTCACTTTATATATATATATATATATATATATATATATATATATATATATATATATATATATATATATATATATATATATATAATTTGCATATATATATATATATATATATATATATATATATATATATATATATATATATATATATATATATATATATATATATATATATATAATTTGCATTTTTAAGGCTGTGAACATTCCTGTAAGAACTTTAACTGCTAAAATGGCATGAAAAATAAGCGAAAATTAATGCAACTTCTTAAAATTTGTGTTCCTCTTTTATGGATATTTTTTTTTTTAAATTATCCCGTCTATTGCTTATATTGATGGTCTGTCCAAGAACTGGTTGCCAGGCAATACAGATTATATTTTAATGCTTATCGATTTTTCTCGCACGGTTTTTTCTTAATAACAGAAAATAACGAAATATATACCGTGTCATTGCAAATATCTTCAAATTTAGGAATATCGGCTGTTAAAACTACTCTTTCTATCAAAATAATTTCACTTGTCTATGCTTTATAACTAATACATATACTATACATGGCAATAAACACTTATTTTTCTCTCAAATATGGCCTTTCAGTTGAGAGTTGTTAGTGTTTATTGCACTCTGTTTTGAATAAGACATTTACAACATTTTGAATCACACAGAGATAACTTAAATCTAGCAACAACAGGATGAACAATTATTTAACTGGCAGAATATGAGCCTCTATATACAGGATTATTATTTCTAAAGTCATGAGATGGTATATATAGAGTTGAAGTATTTTACAGTCTTCGGACTCTACATTTTATAACCGACCGCAGCAGCGGCCGATCTATTTGTGGTTGTGTTAAAGAGTGCATGTAGGAAATGAGGCGTGTTGTTGTTGTTGTTCCTTATTAATCTATAATTTTTGCAAAAGGTAAAAAGACAACATTTACTGAATACTACTTTAAAATAGTTCTTTCGATATTTGCTTTTTTCTATTTTGTTCTGTTGTTTTGTTCCTTCTTTTTCTATTTTGCTTGATTTTCTTATTTTCTTTCACTTTGCTCGTCATTACCATGCACTTAGTTTGTCTGCTAGATACCCAGGAGCAGAGAAGATTTTTGATGAAAAAATGCATTTTCACAATATGATCAATAGAGTCCACCTTTTACATTAGCACCCTTGACCCAGGGGCCTGACTTAGTTTTTACAATTTGGGTGGAGGATTCAATGCTCGATATAATCACGTCAACAACTTCTAGATGTCCAGCATCGTCGGAAACCCACGGTCGGTCTCGCTTCTCTAACCTAAGAGGTAAGAGAAGCGAGACTGACCGTTGGTTTCCGACGACGGATGTCCTGGAGCAGAGAAGAGTTTTGAAGATTGACTGTATTTTCATAGGTTCTTCCTATTCCTCAGGTCCCACATGGGCGGAGAGCATGAAAGTAACAATTTGTCTTCAAAGTTATATAAATAAATAATTTTAAAGATATATTATTATGTTAAAGTCATGAGACGGTGTACAGAGTTGAAGTATTTTACAGTCTTTGGACTCTGCATTTCACAATCGGCCGCAGCAGCCGCTGATCTATTTGTGGTTGTGTTAGAAAGTGCACATGGGAAAATGTTTTGTTTTGTTTTGTTTTTTGTTGTTGTTTCGATAGAATAATTCCTTATTGACAGCAAGCTTCAAAATGATGAATACACAATTTTAAAAATAATTTTATATTATGTCTTAATTACTGCTATTAACGCATTTCAATTTTTTGTCAAATTTTAGGTATTAATTTATGATCTTGCAATATATATTTTTTACACGAAGTGCTCCTCAACATCGGTGTGTATAATGCATAAAAATAACTCGACACGATCACCAGTTTCCGGAAAATTACAGTACTTCAAAATTAGAGAAAAAATGGTATTGAATTTTATTTTGAATTTGCTACAGGTGCGAATGACAAAACAGTATACTTCACATTTATTGTGATGTCCGTCATTGCACCTGCAGAACTCATCGGCATCATCACATGACATAATTATGATCAGATGGAACGTTTGCGGTCAATTTGATGCTTTGCATCAATATATTATCTTGTCCTTTCTGTGATTGGTAGAAATGTTTGATGTAAAAATTTTCAATTATTTCATTGGTTGAAATGCTGTACAGGCAAAAGAGATAATTTTCTGGTGATCTTATTTTCCTACAACTTAGCAATTTTTCAAAATTTTCAATCATTAAAAAATCGACAAAACGAACAAAAGAAGATTGCAGTAAATGAAACTAATACTTTATTTTTTTTTATGACAACTATATTTGTTTTTCTTTATTTTCATGATTAATAAAAAGTTCTTTTTCTGCATGCACACATTGAAATGTGTGTTTATTCTTTTTCCTTCATTTATATGGTAGGGTTAATGTTTATAAAAAAAAAAAAGCTGTTGAAGACGTATAAAGCCAAGAACTATATAGTAATTAGTACTAAAAAAAAATAATACGGTCAATAGGTATATGTCAGATTACAGTTTAAAACTGTTGCTAAAGACAGCAAATCTTTTTGAAAGAAATGGTCTATTTAATTTATTGTTTACAGATGTAGTTAAAGCCCGCTTATAGCACATTTAAATTTCTTAATTAAGCTTTCGTTTAAAAAAAAGCTAAAACTAAAAGTATATGAATTTCATAATTTTCAGACTAAGCATGATCAAAATGAAATTCCAAAAAAAATATTATTTGACTGTATGTGAAATCTTTTTATAACATTTTTTGTAGTTGTGTATTGAATACTGACTTCAAACAGAACATGAATGTAACTAGTGCTGTGAATATAAGCCCTATTATACATCATTCTCAAACAAGCTTACCAGATATTATACAAGCTGGACCTGAAGCTGTATTGACACATTTGGTACCCGATGAACAAGATTCGTTACATTCTTTGAAGTATCTCTAAAATAAATGTGTATATTGAATTATATTGGACGCCTTGATCTTCAATCGTCATGAAAGGCAAAAGTTGAAAATGGCAATTCAGTAGGAGTCATCTTAGTTAGCGTATTTTAGTTTTCGAAATATCTCTTTTTCAGTTACATGGTTTAAACTAATCGAGAAGACATTTCAACATAAATCGAAATCCTGTAAAGTTTAATTATATGCTTTAAAAACAAAAGATACTAATTTTTCCTTTATTTTATCCTTCTTCTTTGGGGATAGACGGAGGCCGTGAAACATAAAAGAAATACTGCATATGAGCAAAATTAAAATTGTTCTTAAGAATCAGACAATTATATGAAATTGCGATCACACAAACAATCATAATTTTTAAAGGAGAAAAAAATTATTATTTTCCTTTCACTTGTAGTATATGTACCTTGAATTATAACGATTAAGAATATATTATTGGGAAGCAATCCTACTACAGATTTTCAATTTATAAGTAATTGCATGAAAAAATTAATACTATATATTGTAAATATGGTTATAAGTATTGTCTTTCATTTTTTAAAGGACTTGAAGGAAATGATCTTACGGACAAGCCGCACAAGTATATCTATATTCATGAATTATTATTTTAAAATACTAAAGATTTTTATTCCAAAGAACGTTCACATGTTGTTTACATATTTCGCCACAATATACCTAAATCTCAAGCGGTTTTTTTTCTCAAATATGCATGTTATAAAAAATTTCAACAACTTTGCTCCAGAAGGATCAAATGCATCAATGCGTATCTAAATTGATATACTAGTATGGAAGTATAATCTGTGGAATGGCGGGAGCTCTTAAGATATGAATTATTATTTATTTATTTATCTATTTAGATTTTTATTTATTTATTTATTATTTATTTATTTATTTTTCATTTGAGCTCTTTATCTTTTCTTTAGTTGGAAATCACTGTCAAAAAAACGTGAAAGTTTTATTTTTTCAACAGTCTATGAACAATTGCATTTATTGTTGCGATATCCAAATTAAAATCAACAAAATATTGTTAAGTGAAAAAAAAAATTCAATTCATTTTCAAAAATATGATGAAGAAATGAATGTTATATGAACTTAACTTTTTTTACCTGTGGTTTCTTCATTTTTTCAGTATATATATATTCTGAGTCGTGAAGGAAGTCCTCCGGATGTGATTCTGCATCAGAGGATGACAATTCACATGTTAATGTATTCCGACCAAAATTTAGAGATTTACATATTGTTCTAACAGAACACTCCCTCAAGCACATCTTCAGACCAAGTGGTGAAAGTTCTTCCATGATATGTCCTTTAAGGCGCTTGTTTGGAGTTTTAAGAAGCGAATCTTCCATAGAAATACTACCAATGTATACATATATTAGGTATACGTATATGATATTTATGCCATTCATTGTAAATAAATTTCCGCAAGATCCTAACATTCCCGAAATCCCCTCTCACTTTCACCAAGAAGGAAAATTTGCTTGACTATTTATTTATGCTTATATCGATTTTTTTAAAAATGTTGTCCAATAACAACGGTTTTCTAGCGTATGCTAATATCCGTACCCTTGAACAAGTAGCACACTTTTTTTCCTCTAGATTTGGCAATCATTTCATCAAATTATAAGCCTCAAAATAAATTCTTAAAATTTCATCTAATTTAGGGGACAATTCTTCATACCGTAATTATTTTATGTTTCATAAGTTTTATTGTATTGGAAAACTGTATTTTAGAGCAATATCTTGAGTTTGGAAAATTATCGTCCAAAATTTTGGTTATGAACTTCAATATTTGTTTAAAAAAAAAAAAGGAGCTTTTCAAATGATTTTTTTTAAAAACAAATTAATTTGTTTGCTTGATGCTTACTCGAGAATTTTCACGCTTACTGTTCAAATTCATATATGGTTTGAACATATTTTATTGTCTATAAACTTTACAACTGGGATTGGGCAAAAGTTCTTAAAACTTAATACGCCCTCTCCCTACATATGAATTATACCAAAACATATTTACATATATGGGTTTCAGCTTAAAATGAATAAACACAGAAAAGCATAATAATCAGAGAAACATTATACAATATACAAGCTGTATAGAATTTGCAAGAAGTAATTATTGCATCAACCAAAACGACCTGACTTTTTAATAAATGTTTGTACAATAGAAAATAAGTATTCATTTTCAACATTGTTTAACTTTTCATCTCCCCAGAGTAATGTATAAGTATCGACAGTATGTAATTTTCCCATTCGCAGAAATTTATCGAAAAATTCTTTTCTGGCTTCTGTATATTTTTTGCACGAGAAGAAATAATGATGGGTGTCCTCTACTATTCCACAGGAACATAAGGGACTCAAGATTATATTACATCGAAAAAGATCGCTATTAAGTACACAGTTGTATCGAAGCCTTGTATGTAATATATTTAAGCGTCGATTTCCGTAACTGAAGTAAGAGGGTGGCATAGTTTTATTATAAGAAATAGACTTTTTAAAAATAGATAATGAGGAAGAATTTCTTACAACAAGAGGTAATGAGTTCCATTCATCAATAACAAGGGGAATGAAAGTTGACTTGTAGGTTTGTAATCTGCATTTGGGTATGTTATAGTTATGTGAATTTCTCGTACTGTAACTTGATGAATTACAACGCAAATTTGGGATTATATCAGTCAGATACTCAGGAACTTGATTATTATAAATTTTGTACATTGTAGTTAATCTAGTATTTTTCCTTCTTTCATGTAATGGTTCCCATCCAGTTTCAAAGTAAAGTGCATCTTTAGAAGCTAACAGAGTTAAGCCTGTGACAATTCTAGCAGCACATAATTGTAATTTTTCTAATTTTTCGCTATCACCTACATTACACCCACCCCACACCAGTGAAGCATATTCTAATTGTGGCCTAATAAAGGTTGTGTACATGAGTGAAAGAGTTTTCCGATTTACTACAAATTTAAGTTTTTTTAATAAGCCCAATTTTTTATACGCATTAGTTAGAATAGTATCAATATGTGTAGACCAACTAAGATCATGTGAGAAAAAAATCCCTAAATGTTTATGCGAAGAGACAAATTCTAGCTGACTTTGCTGGAAGAAGAGTTTAGGATAATTAACACTTCCTCTCAAGTTGAAAAATATTGCTTTAGTTTTAGAAGAGTTGAATTTAAGAAGCCATTTTTTCGACCAAATTTCTAGCTTGTTAAGATCATAATTCAGTTTGTTTTCGATAGTATTGACATTTTTAGATGACTGCTGAAGGGAGTTATCATCTGCAAATAGTCTACAAAAACTTGTCATTTCTTCAGCAACATCATTTACATATATAAGAAATAATAGAGGTCCTAACACTGAGCCTTGAGGGACACCCGCATATAAAGGTTTTTTGTCAGATAATAAGTTTCTGTATAAAACTCGTTGTGATCTACCCTCTATGTAACTCTTTAACCATTGAAACAAATTTCCTTCTATACCATAAGTTCTGAGTTTAAACAAGAGACCCTTATGCCATACACGATCAAAAGCTTTAGAAAGATCACAAAATATCATGCAACAATGTTCACCGTTGTCAATAGCTTTAACAATAGTATCATATGTTTCAATTAATTGATATACAGTGGAGTGACCTGGTAGAAATCCAGCTTGGTATTTATAAAAAAGTTTGTTATCATGAAAGTGATTATACAAGTGTTTAAATATGATTCGTTCCATTACTTTACCAATACAACTTAGCAATGACACAGGTCTATAATTAGAAGGATCATCTTTCTTAAATAAAGGGAGAACATTAGCAACTTTCCATTTACAAGGAAAAATACAATCAACTAATGACCTGTTAAACAATAAACATAACGGTTTTACAATAGTATACATTGTGGATTTCAACATCTTGTGACTAATATTGTCTGGGCCTATTGCTTTATTTACAGGTAGAATTGAAATAATATCTATGATTTCTTGTTCACAAATACAGAAAATATATAATAAAATATATAAATCATATATATTAGTGACATTTAAATAATTGTTGTGTTAACATTCGAAAGATAAAATTAAAAAGTATTGTCTTATCTTGAACTAATCTGCTAAAGATATTTGACATCATAATTAAGACAAAACTTTAGATGACAAAATATCGACGATTCAACATGTTCAATTCAAAATCTGAAACAGCAATTCTGGTCATATGAAAAAGAGGACTAGACTCTGTAATATGTATGTATTTGTTCAAATTCACATATAAATGACATTTACATAAAGGTTGTGTTAACATCCGAGAGACCTTGACGTAAATGTGTATGTTTCACCATCTCTATTCGTGTCGCATTTGCTTTTTATATAAAACATCAACTACTTGCTTAGCCGTATATCAATTTTTATAAAGTTTATGTTGTATCTAAAGTTTTCTTTGTGACCTATTTTCTGTGGGGGAAATCAGAATGTATGTGTGCATATCTTGTAAAATGTATATATCTATATCTTCAAAATGTTTGGTATTTGCTGATTTCCCCCCTTGTTTGTAAAACTTATTTTTTTCGTCATTTACTGTATGAATAAATGACAATTTAATCTCACATATAATTGTCCTGTCGTATTTGAAATAGAATTAGGAGCAAAACAAAGCTGCGGTGAGCTGCTTGTATTAGGAAATAGTGAGAGACATAAATTACTTGCTTGTTATGACTGACGTTTCTTCTAGCTGAGACATTATTGACAATGTTGAATTCTTTTTCAAAATGTTAATCATTATACATTTCATACGTAAAATAGTTTGTCTTTATTGAAACGTAATATCATTTATAAGAACAGTTTTTGCGTCCTACCATAATTTTTGCAAACCACGTCAAATTTATAATCGATTATTGAAAAATACTCCGTTCTTACTATAATAATTTCTTGCGAATTGGAAGCTGATAAATATCAATCATCAACTATTTATAACATATTTAATCGATTTATGTTAATTTATTTCAATTATTGATTTTTGTTTCTTTTTTTCTTGCGCAGCGTGTTACATGTTTCTTTGCTTTCAATTTATATTTAATGATGAATTCGAGAAAAAACAGCTCATTTATGGTATGTCACCTGTTATGACATTTTCCACTATAAATATAATATGAACAGTTTCAATATTTTGGTTCAGGTTATACGACAGTTCATTCTTTTTATGATACTTATATTGGTACATCGATGAAAAACAATGAACAATAAAAATTTTCTCGCCTTTTTTTTTTTTTTTTTTTTTTGGCAGTCATGATAAATGTCTTCAAAGTATGGCTCCCGGGTTAGTTGGGGCGAGGGGGGGGGGGGGGTCAACGTTTAGTTGGGAATTTAAAAAAAACATTTTCTCAAGAGCAACGGGAACATGATTAGTCATATTTATATTTTAAAACATGCAAGAAAAATTGATTAAAGCAAGTAATGCAGACTGCCTTTTGTAATTTGAGTCGCAAATATGGATTAGATACAAATGTAATTTTTGGCCTTTCTTTGTAGCCCCATTTTGAGCTTAAGGACATTGCTATGAGTGCATTCATGTTTTTCTCCCTGTGTTTTTAGCTCACCTGAGCCAAAAGCTCAAGCGAGCTTTTCTGATCAAAATTTCCCGTTGTCTGGCGTCATCATTGTAAATTTTTCACTTTTTCGTCTTCTTCTCTATTACCGCTGGGCCAATTTAAACCCAACTTGCCACAAAGCATCCTTTGGTAAAGGGAATTAATATTTGTTCAAATGAAGGGCCACGCCCTTTTTCAAGAACGATAATTAAGAATAGCAACTTTCAAAAATCTTCTCAAGAACCACTGGGCCAGAAAAGATGAAACTTATGTGAAAGCTTCATTACATAGTGTAGATGTAAGTTTGTTCAAATCCTGACCCCTGAGGTGGGGTGGAGCCAAAAGGGGGAATTCAAAGTTTTATATACTTGTAGGAATCTATAAGAAGAGTCTTTTTAAAAACTTACTTAAAAACACTGGGCCAGAAGAGTTGAAAGCTTCATTACATATATAGTGTAAATTCAAGTTTGTTCAAATCATGACCCCCGGGGTAGAGTGGGGCCACAACTGACAAGCAAAGTTTTACATAGGAACATATAGGAAACAATCTTTAAAAACCTTCCTCTCAAAAACAGCAAAGGCATGATTAGTCGTATTGATATGAAAGCATCCCCAGGTAGTATAGATTCAACTTTATTCAAGTCATGACCCCCAGGGATAGGTTGGGGGCAAAATGGGTGATCAAAGTTAAACACAGGAATGCATTTGGGGAAAAAATCTTCTTAAGAATAGCAAAGGTATGATAAGGTAATGCATATTGATACAAAAGCTTCATCAGTAGAGTAGATTAAAATTTGTCAAAATCATTATCCCTGAGGATAATGTGGGGCCACAGTGGAAGGTAAAAATTTTACA